GTATTGCGCGAACCTCATCACCAGGCTCGACAGCGTCGGCCACATGGAGACCTACTTCAAAGCAGGGATGTCTGCCAACTTCAAGGAAGACCGCGGCACCATCACGCTGTGGCTCGACAAGCTGGAGCACATCGCTGAGTCAGGCCATGACCTGGCTACCTACGTTCTCTCTCTTGCACTCCACAGGTCCAACAGCGGTGCCGCCAACAACGCCACTGCCCGACGGTTGCTACGGATGGTGGAAGGTGATGAAGAGGACCCAACGGCGAAGAATGCGACGTGGAAGAACCAGAAATATGTAGGCGCCACCGAGCTACAAGGGTGGTGTTGCAGGATGACTTGGTGCTACCAAGCAATGCAATGAGGCCTGCTCTGCCTCCTCTGGCCTCTCCGGTGCCTCACCAGGACGGGCATTAGTGCCGAGGCGGAGGCTACGGTGACATCGCCAGGTCAATGAAGCATGGGAGTCGTGGGCCCTGTTCTGCAGCGAGGAGTGTAGGATCCGACATGAGTGGTGTATGTTCTTCGATGATTGCAAGTGGGCATGAGTAGCTAGCTAGTGTAGATATGCATGTATATATATCTAGATCTGGATGTAATGATCGAAACACTTTTGCTTTTGGTAATTAATGGAAGATGTTCGATCCTGAGTATGTGATGAAATCTGAGATGTTTTAGTTGTAATTCATGTTATATTGTTGTTTGTGATGGTGTTTGTATGATGTTCCAGTACACTACTCTATTGAGCCGCCTCTATAAATAGACGCTGAATTTTTCAAACGACCACGGATCGAGAAAGAACCAAAATAAAAGATGTACATCTCAAAAAGCCAAGAAACTTTGTAGTTTACAACTTTTTCATTTGAAATCATCTTGTCATGGAAAACTAAGTCTAAATTTCCAAAAATTTGAATTTTGAATTTTTTTTAAATGACCTCGGATGGAGAAACTACCAAAATAAAAGTTGTAGATCTCAAAAAGTTATGAAACTTTGTAGTTGACAACTTTTAGATTTGAAATCATCTTGTCAACCAAACTAAGCATTCATCCACAAAAGATTTCACGTTAGAGGAAAAGTTGTTGTTGCATACTGTAGTAGTAAAAAAAAGGCAAAAAATTGTACCCTCAGAAGGGATCGATCGTGAGACCTTAAACAAGTATAAAATATGAGTTTATCATTGTGCTAAGTTGAAACAACTATGGAAGAGCTAGCAATAAAAAACCAAGTCAAAAATTGTGTCCCACCTAGGATCGAACCCAAAGAGTTGTAGCCCGAAACAAGTGTCTTTCAAAAATGCGCTATTTAAGAGTTCGACGAAAAAGTGGTTTGAATAGTTTAAATAGTTAGGCTAATAATTTTCATTGGGCCAAAAGATTGATAAACAAGTGCCAACCTTTTTAATATCAGCTAAAACTTGTAACTAGTCTTTCATCCACAAACTAGCTTCAAATTTGAAGATTTTTTCCTAATTTTTTGTAAAACATTTATTGTGTAGTTACAAATATTAGGCAAAAATTTATCATGTGACTGGGATTTATCAATTGAGATTTTAGGCCCAAAAATGAAAAGTTCAAACAACATTTTGAAGCTAATGGTTAAATGTGTAAAAGGTTATCAACAACAAAGTTGTAAATCGATCAAGGTCTACAACTTTTTATTTTGATCATTTCTTCATCTAAGAAAGTGATAGTAACAAGTGTCTTTCCATTGCTCTCTCTTAGGAGTTTACGAAACATAAAGTGGTTTGAATAGTTTAAATAGGGAACATAATAATTTTCATTTTCAAAGATTGATAAACAAAAATTTTCTTTTACATCTTGATGAGTTGTACAACTTTCATGTTCATGACTTTTCATAAGAATTCATTTGGTGTTTCAAAATGTTATCTTCAAATTTTTATATTCAAATTTTGAAACAGAGTCACATGAAAAGTTTTCCAAAATAAAAGTTGTAGATCTTGTTGAGATATACAACTTTTATGTTCATGACTTTTTCATCTGACATCATTTGGTATTTGAAAATCTTGTTTGAACTTTCCATTTTTTGAAATTCAAATTTTGAATTGTACAAACAAAGTCACATGAAAAGTTTTACAAAATAAAAGTTATAGATCTTGATGAGTTGTATAACTTTTATGTTTACAACATTTCCATTTTAGATCATTTACTGCACTAAAATTGTATTCAAAGATTTAAAATTGAAATTATCAATTTAACTATACTACAGACGCGTGTTGGCAACACGCGTCGACAGTAATTAATTACTACATACGCGTGTATTAAAGGCGCATTTGGAGTAGTTGTAAAAACGCATCTGTAGTAGTAAAATAAAAGGCAAAAAATTTGTACCCCCGCAGGGATCGATCCTGAGATCTTCAGGCCCACAACCCCATGAGTTAACCGTTGTGCTAAGTTCCTAAGTTCAAACGGGGAGCGGTATTTATTTTTTAAAAGGTTCCAATACATTAAAACAAGGTAATGGTGGGGCTGTCCTGTTAGGGTCCTACTTTAGACCCATGCTGTAAAAATGTGTCTGTGTCTGTAGTAGTAAAATAAAAGGCATAAAATTTGGACCCCTACGGGGATCGATCCTGAGACCTTCAAGCCCAGGACACCATGAGTTTACCATTGCGCTGCGTTCGTAAGTTCAAAAGGGGAGCAGTGTTTATTTTTTAAAAGGTTTACCCCATTCACAGCCTAGGGAACTACAGACGCATTTACGCGGTTTACCCCATTCACACCGCTACGACATTCGTCATTCTCGTAGCCAACCGGAAACTTCAAGAAGAGCGTCCTCATAAAATCCCACCTCTCCACTTTCATTAAAGAAACTCACCTTTTGCATTGCTCCTCGGTGATCCACCTCTCCCCAGCGCCCTCAGCTCGATCTTGATCTGCCTTCACATCGTCGCTCCCCCCACCACCGCCGCCACCTGATGGAGAAGCTTCCGATGGAGTTGGCTGCTGAGGTTGCGAGCCATGTCGCCAAGGCCACGGCGGATCCCATGGAGGACCTTGGCAGCCTGCGGAAAACATGCTCGTAGATGCGAAGGGTGTGCGGCACTGCCTACGTGGGACGGAGCATCCCACTGGAGCTGGTGCTAAACAATCACGACTGGAAGCCCTTCTACTCGCACGAGTATTGCGCGAACCTCATCACCAGGCTCGCCAGCGTCGGCCACACGGAGGCCTGCTTAAAAGAAAGGATGTTTGTGGTCTTCAAGCAAGACCGCGGCACCGTCACGCCATGGCTCGACATGCTGGAGCACGCCGCCGAGTCTGGCCATGACCTGGCTACCTATGTTTTCTCACTTGCGCTCTATAGGTCCACCATAGGTGCCGCCAACGATGCCACTGCCCGACGGTTGCTACGGAAGGTGGAAGGTGACGAAGAGGGCCCGGCGGCGATGAATGTGACATGGAAGAACCAGACCTGTGCACGGTGCCGCCGAGCTATAAGTGTGGTGTTGCAAGACGACTTGGTGCTGGCACTCCATGGAACGAGGCCTGCTCTGCCTCGTCTGGCCTCTTTGGTGCCTTGCCAGGACGAGCATCAGTGTTGAGGCGGAGGCTGCAGCTACATCGCTGGGGTCGACGAACATTGGGCCACGTGGGCCCTGTTCTATAGCCATGAGTGTCGTAGTTTCTTCCTTGGTTGCCAGTGGGCATGAGTAGCTAGTGTGTTCATATGTATATATATCTGAATGTATGCATGATGATCCAAACCATTTTGCTTTTGGTAATGGGAGATGTCCGATCCTGAGTATGTGATGAAATCTGAGATGTTTTAGTTGTAATTCATGTTATATTGTTGTTTGTGATGGTGTTTGTATGATGTTCCAGTACACTACTCTATTGCGCCTCTACAAATAGACGCTGAATTTTTCAAACAACCATGGATGGAGAAAGAACCAAAATAGAAGATGTACATCTCGAAAAGCCAAGAAACTTTGTAGTTGATAACTTTTTCATTTAAAATCATCTTGTCATGAAAAACTAAGTTTAAATTTCCAAAAATTTAAAATTTGAATTTTGAATTTTTTAAATGATCTCGGATGGAGAAACTATCAAAATAAAAGTTGTAGATCTCGAAAAGTTATGAAACTTTGTAGTTGACAACTTTTAGATTTGAAATCATCTTGTCAACCAAACTAAGCATTCATCCACAAAAGATTTTATGTTACAGACGCGTGTTGTAAAAACGCGTTTGTAGTAGTAAAATAAAAGGCAAAAAATTTGTACCCCTACGAGGATCAATCCTGAGACCTTCAAGCCTAGGACACCATGAGTTAACCATTGCGTTGTGTTCGCAAGTTCAAACGGGGAGCGGTGTTTATTGCTTAAAAGGTTTACCCCATTCACAGCCTAGGGAACTACAGACGCGTTTACGCAGTTTACCCCATTCACACCGCTACGATGTTCGCCATTCCCGCGGCCAAGCGGAAACTTCAAGAACAACGCACTCATAAAATTCCACCTCTCCCCACTCCACCTCTCCACCTTCATTCAAGAAATTCACCTTTTGCATTGCTCCCTGGTGATCCACCTCTCCCCAGCGCGCTCAGCTCTCGATCTGCTTTCACATCGGCGCTCCCTCCCACCAGCGGCACCATCGCCTGATGGAGAAGCTTCCAACGGAGTTGGCTGCTGAGGTTGCGAGCCACGTCGCCAAGGCCATGGCGGATCCCATGGAGGACCTTGGTAGCCTACGGGCAACATACTCGCAGATGCGAAGGGCGTGCGGCACCATCTACGTGGGACGGAGCATCCCACTGGAGCCAGTGCTGAACCGTGTGGCCTAGGAGCCCTACTACTCACGTGAGTATCGCACGAACCTCATCACCAGGATCGACAGCGTCGGCCACGTAGAGGCCTACTTCAACGCAGGGATGTCTGCCGTCTTCAAGGAAAACCACGGCACCATCATGCCATGGCTCGACAAGCTAGAGCGCGCCACTAAGTCAACGTTGCACATCTTGCCGAGGGCAGTGGCTAGGAAGATGTGCATCAACTGCGGCAAAGTCGGTGGTTCAAGCACCACACATGGCCAGGTAATGCACACTCTTTAGATTACAACTGCTTATATGTAGGTTTTCTTTCTTAATTTCATGACAGTTTTGTTGGTAGCCTCTGAATTGGATGAGTTTATTGATAAAATAATTTGGCTCATGACATTCTCTCATCCCGGACCCAGATGGAGCAGAGAAAACAACTTAGTGTAGAATAAATGCAAATGCAACTCAAGTTTTTATACAAACAATGTAAAATGTCATATTTTGTATTTTGCAGCAGCATTGTGCTTTGAGTAGATTGCTTTATCTAGATGTTTATCATAGGTCAATGATTTTAATCTTGTGAATAATTTTGATGGTGCCACTTCAATATTTCAGCATTGTGATTTGAGTAGATTGGGTTTCATATCTTTGGGGTAGCTCTAAGTCTTTTATGTGCATTGTTAGCCACAGCTAGATGTTTTATTTTTCTCATTTGCTATGATTCTGGAGTTCACAAGGTCATGGACTTTGTAGCCTATAATTGATTATATGAAACTTATATGATTTTGATATGTATGTTGGATAATGAAACTTATATGTAGAGTTTTTTGTCACGGTATCTAGATTTATGCTGGATTTTGATATATGTTCCTATAACTGTTTCTGTGCATATAGGTTCGAACTTATCAGCTCCCTCTAAGTACCATGCACGAGGCCCTAGACACAGCTCTGAAACCCATCATGAAGAGCATAGGTAGTCTTCAGCGGAGTGTTGACGAGCTCAAGAAAGAGAAGGCTGAGAACGAAGGGAAGGAGAAGCGACTAAAGAAGAACCTAGACGACCTTGGTGACCAACTGGCGTCCGTGGTTCAGAATGTGCATGACCTCCAGAGCAAGTTGCAGGGCGCCATGCCTCCGCCGCCGGCGAACAACTAATGATGATGTGATGCTGTGTTAACTCTGTGCTGATGAAACTCTATGTGAATGTGAACTCTATACTATTAATTTTTGGCGATGATGTAATAGATGCAAACTCGATTTGTCACATATATACTTTGGCTGGAAATAAATCTATCTATCTATCTATCTATCTATATATATATATTACATATATATTGTTACTGGTTTGTCAATGGCTGAAGTGAAAATGGAGAATATAAGCAAATTCATCAATGTTTTAGTAATAAAAATCACATTTTTAGTAGACTTAGTTCACATTGCAAGTTTCACACAAGCTTCAAACAAGTTCACCACTGTTCAGAGAGAAGCACATGGTCGGAGCACACCTGATCAAGTACACTGCAGAGAGGAATGAGTTAGAGTCAGACTCGTGCTCGACCACAGCCATGGTGGTGCGGCGGACAAAGAATGGTGGCGCGGCGGTGCTCCAACAGATACAGCACGGTATAGGTTAGTCTAAGGGCTCAGGCAGCATCAGAAGCTCACCGCGGTGTCGATGCGCTGGTTGGTTGAACCGGGGACGAGGCGGAGCTAGATGGCCAGCGGTGATGGTGCGTACGACGGCGCGAATTGGTGGCGAGGTCATCGTTCTGCCGCGAACCTACATGGTAGAGGTGAAAGAATGGAGCCGATGAGCATCACGGAGTCGCAGGAGAGCTAAAATAATAAACGGGATCACCAGAGGAGCGTCGGAACGAGCTGGCCACGGCGAGCTACCCATGGCAGCCACGATGGCACGGCCACGACGGCAACCGACGTCAAAGGCAATTGCAGCGGCGAGAGGTGGCTACAGCGGTTCGAGGAGGACCACAACAACTAGGCAAAGCTAAGAGCATAGGAAATTAGTACAAGATGGAATGACGATGATGAATTTTGCAGTCGAGCGGCACGGCGGTGCTCTGGTAGAGAAGAGGTGAAAGCTCTAGTTTGGTTTTGGTTAATTGATGAAACCCTAAGTGCTAACCTAGTTTATCAAAGTAATTATGAGATAGGTAGCACTACACCAAGTGATGAAGCAATGACGAAGATCATGACAATGGTGATGGCATGGTGATGATCAAATGCTTGAACTTGGAAAAGAAGAAAGAGAAAAACAAAAGGCTCAAGGCAAAGATATAAAATGTAGGAGCCATTTTGTTTTAGTGATCAAGACACTTAGTGAGTGTGATCACATTTTGGATAGATAGCCGTACTATTAAGAGGAGTGAAACTCCTATCGAAATGCGGTTATCAAAGTGCCACTAGATGTTCTAACTCATTGCATATGCATTTAGGATCTAGTGGAGTGCTAACATCCTTGAAAACATTTATCAAAATATGCTAACACATGTGCACAAGGTGAAACACTTGGTGGTTGGCACATTGGAGCAAGGGTGAAGAAGTTAGAAGTGAAAACGAGTTGGTCGCGAAGACGCTGGCGTCGGTCAACTGATCGGACGCTGGATCTGAAAGCACTGGACGCTGGCAGCATGCATCCGGTCGAACTGGTCGGTCGGCACAGTACCTAGGGTACTACATCGGACGCTGGTATGGGTCCGGTCAAGGTGGACCGGACGTGTCCGGTCAAAGAAATACGCCTCAGGGAGCTTACTGGAAACGACCGGACGCTGGGGCTTCAGCATCCGGTCAGTTTTGCCGGTGCGTCCGGTCAGTTTCGTAGCCATTGAAATCTGACGAACAGCGTTTGAAGCAAGTGACGCGTGGCGTCCATCGGGCGACTGGACGCTGAGTCTAGAGTCCGGTCAGTATGACCGGAGCGTCCGGTCAGAGCGCGTTTTGCCCAGTGAAGGGGTATAACGGCTCTATTTGATTGGGGCTCTATTTATAGCCCCATGGCCGGCTCAAGGAAAAATACTTGCACATTTTCATTGACATAGCAACCTTGTGAGCTTAGCCAAAGCCCTCCCACTCATCTCCATCATTGATCCATCATCATTGTGAGATTGGGAGATAATCCAAGTGCATTGCTTGAGTGATTGCGTTTAGAGGCACTTGGTATTCGTGTTGCGCTGCGGATTTCGCTTGTTTCTCTTGGTGGTTGCCACCACCTAGACGGTTGGAGTAGCAGTGAAGGATCGGCACGAGTTGGTGATTGTTCGTGGCCACCTTCGGTGATTGAAAGGGGACTTGTACCTTCCCCGGCGGAGTGCCGAAAGGTAACTCTAGTAAATTGCTTGTGTCATTGAGTTACCTCACTTGTGGGTCGGTTCTTGCGGTGTCCTATCGTGTGGACGAGGTTTGTGAAACACCTCTTAGCCGCCGAACCACCAAAGTGTTGGTCGACACAACAGGGACTAGCGTGTTGGCAAGCACGTGAACCTTGGGAGAAAAATCGATTGTCTCTTGTCATTTGCATTCTCCCGGTGATTGGCTTAATCTTCATCTTGTGATTGGTTCATCCCCTACACGGCGGTATAATCACCCTACTCACTCATTTACATTCTTGCAAACTAGTTGATACAAGCTCTTTAGTGTAATTAGAATTGAGAGCTTGCTTTATTATTTACATTCATCTAGTTGAGCTCTTAGTGAGTAGTTACATAGCAAGTTTGGGTGCCCAAGTAATCATTGCAACTAGAATTGTTGGATAGGTGGCTTGCAACCCTTGTAGAGCTAGAGCAAGTTTGCATTATGCTATTTGTCATACTATTCAAATTGCTCTAGTTGATTTATAGATTTTTAAATAGGCTATTCACCCCCTCTAGCCATATTAAGACCTTTCAAGTGGTATCAGAGCCATGGTCACCGTTTGATTAAAGGCTTAACAACCTCGGTGTTAAATTATGGCTCAAGTTGTGTTCAACCATGTGGGGGGCAAACCACCATTCTTTGATGGCACATGCTATGGTTATTGGAAGAGGAAGATGAGGATGTATCTTGGTTCAATCAATGATCAAGTATGGGAAGTGACCAAGAATGACTATGCTATCATTGATCCCGATGATCCAACCAATCAAGATAAGATCAACAAGCAATGCAATACAATGGCTCTCAACACCATATACAATGCCATTGATTCCAAGGTGTTTGAGCAAATCAAGGATTGTGATAGAGCAAATAAGGTGTGGAAGAGATTGGAGGAAACATATGAGGGCACACCGGTGGTGAAAAGTGCCAAGTTGTATATCCTCAAGGATAAATTGACAAGCTTCAAGATGAAGGAAGATGAGAGCATTCCGGAGATGTTCCATCGATTGCAAGTCATTGTCAATGACTTGAAGGTATTGGGAGAGAAGATCAAGGATGATAATGTCTCCCACCGATTCTTGATGTGCTTACCTCCAAGATTTGAGATGTTGAGATTGCTCATCATAAGAGGAAGATTGAAGGATATTACCCCCAACCAAGTACTAGGTGATGTCATGACACAAGAGACATACCATGTGGAAAGGGAGGGGGATGACAAGGAGGACAAGAAGGAAGAAGAGGACAAGAAGAAGAAAAGCATAGCATTCAAGGCTAGTTCATCATCATACAAAAACAAGGGCAAGTCCAAGAAAGAATCAAGTGATGATGAAGATCTAAGTGATATTGATGATGAGGCTATGGCTCTCTTTGTGCGCAAGATGGGCAAGTTCATGAAGAAGAAGGGCTATGGTGCAAGAAAGAGAAGAGATCACACCAAGAAGAAAGAGTATGTGAGAAGATGCTATAATTGCAAGAGCCCCGATCATGTAGTAGCAAATTGTCCATACAATAGTGACAATGATGAGGATGAGAAGAAGAAGCACAAGGAGGATAAGAAAGAAAAGAAGGAGAAGAAGGAGAAGAGAATGACCTTCCAAAAGAAGAAGAAGGGTGGAGGCTATGTAGTCACTTGGGATAGTGATGGCTCATCGGATAGTGATGACTCTAATGATGATGGCAAGAAGTCTATCAAGAGAGCACTAGCAAGCATCGTCATCAACAACAAGCCCTCCATCTTCGACACTCCATCAACATGCCTCATGGCAAAGCCTATCAAGGTAAAATATGATGAGAGTGATGATGATGAATGTGAAAGTGACTCTTGTAGGAATGATAATGATGATGATGATGAGGAGGAGTACTCCAAGGAGGAGCTCTTGGACATGTGTGAGCAAGTGCACACTTGCAATGAGATGAAGAAAAGGAGTGCAAAGAATTGCGTAAGAAAGTAAAATTTCTTGAGCAATCCTTTAATGAGCTCAATGCCACTCATGAGGGGCTAATGGATGCCCATGAGAAGCTTGGCAAAGCTCACTCTAAGCTTGAAAAGGCTCACTCCTCTCTCATTGAGCAAGTCAAGAAGGAGGAAGCCAAGAAGGAGCAAGTAATAGTAACATGTGATGTGGGACTAACATGTGATCTTATTGATGAATCTTTTCATGAACCCATTATTGTTGCTCCCATTAACACTTCTTGTAGCACAACCATTACCACTCCACCTATGAATGATACATCACTAATGGTGGAAAATGAAACCCTCAAGAAGGAGGTGAATGAGCTCACTCGTGCCTTAGGCAATGCCTATGGTGGAGATGCCCGCTTGCTAAAGTGCTTGGATAGCCAAAGGTTTTCTCTCAACAAAGAGGGATTAGGCTATACCCCCAAGAAAGGCAAGGTGGCCTTTGTCACTCCCAAAGCTAGCTTTGTGAAAGGCAATGGTCGGTTTTGTAATAGATGCAAGCAAGTTGGGCACATAGAGCAAAATTGAAAGACTAACAAGAACAAGCTACCTAATGTATCCTCAATTAAATTTGATTCTTGTTACATGCTTTATAAGGGTGCTAATGGTGTGAAGGCTAAGTTCATTGGTACACCAATTGTGGGTCCAAAGAAGAAGGCCATTTGGGTACCAAAGACCTTGGTGACTAACCTACAAGGACCCAAGCAAGTTTGGGTACCTAAAAAGAATTGATCTTCTTTTGTAGGTAAATTATAAAGCCGGTGGAAGGCATTGGGTGCTTGATAGTGGGTGCACACAACACATGACCGGTGATTCAAGAATGTTCAAT